GCGTCGTGTTCTCCTTTTATATAATATACGTATAACATATCGTATGTATATATTATAATACACGCTAGCCGGAAGCGTACTTTTCACCCCGCTGGTATTTCGCACGCAGTCGTAAATAAATTTTTTTTTTCTTCCACTTTCTTTATTTTTCCCCGAGATATTTTTTGCAACATCACGTATTCCCGCGGACGTGCCGCGAAGCATCTCATATCAGATTAGATTAGAGAACAACGGAACTCGCTATCGCGGCGAAGACGCGAAATTATACGCGGTCTCGTAAATACTAATTAGGGCGGTTTGCAAATAATAAAGCCGCGTATATAATTAACGGTAGAAATTAGAGTTGCCACTTACAATAAATGGATTTTTTCATGCGCTTTTAAATTATAATTTGCCACGAAGTATAAATTGATACAAGCCAGCTACCGTAATTATATAATTATTCGCGGTAACCGATGCTTCGTTTATATTTTTTGCATGTATTTAACACAGTCATATATTAACTTCTTTGTGCAGAAAATGTTGTTTTCGTCGCAGTTAATAAGAATAGAGAAAGAAATAAGAGAAATATTATCTACGATATAAAGCAGGTGTATTGCACAGCTTTTCTCATATATATATATATATATATATATTTGACTTAACGCAATTGTTCATCTTTTATCTAACTCGACTATTCACGTTTATAGGACACCTGCATTTTATGACCCGCATGTGCTACACCCAAAGCAAGATAAAGATATATGACCGAGAGGCGCGTGTTTTCACAGTTAAAATATCGCAAAAATATGACAAAATATATCGCTCGGAAAAAACATAAAATAAAAATGTAAAACGACGCGTATACATTTATATATCATCTTTGTCTCTAGCAATAAATAAATTATCTCGTAATAAATCAATAAGCGAGTTTCTCACCGAGATAACCGCATTTTATACGAAGGCAATCCCGACGGAGGCGCCCTTAATTAAAGCCTTAACCGAATCGCGTTTATTCCCGATCGAAAAATCGGAAAACCGACCTGATACGGCGCCAAGTCGTAACGCGTGCTCTCTTTTTTGCCCCCGCTCATTTCTCGTCCCCTTACTTCTCATTTCTTCCCTGTCCTGCCTGCAAGCTCGAGAAATCCTGGTCTGATTTATCCGACAGTAATTCCTCTTTTAACATAGATCCTCCCGAAAGCTGTTTAGGAAATCTGTACGTTTATTAACCGCCGTCACGACAATGGCAGTCGATGTCATTTGAATTGTTAAATATTCTTGTTTTAATCATTTAAATTAGCTTTCCATGACAATACAAAAATTAATTTTTACTTTAGAGAATTTTTTATTTCAGATAATTAAAATATTTTCTCACAAAAACGTCCCCTCCGTAGACACAAATCTTTCTTCATTTAATTTTGATAGATTACACAAATATAACAATACGTGAAAATTTAGAAAATTAAATCTGATTTTGATTAAATTTGTGTCAATGTACAATCTCGAAGAAATTATAGAAATTAAATAACATATAAAAATATTAATGAAAATTTAAATTCTGACTTTTTGATGATTAGAAGAGTTCAAAGAAGATCGGTAAAAGTCGCGAAGGGCAAAGAGAGAAAAACACCAAAAGATTTATTGACGCAGAAAAATATTCAATTTGATTTCAGGTCAGCTCCAATGTACCATTAAAGTTGTCAAAGACGGGCAAGGATGGGAAAAGCAGAGAAGGAAAGCATCTTTTAAAAGACCAACTGGAGAAAGAGAAAGAAAAAGCAGAATTAAATAAATAAATTTCTTTTACCAGTGTATGTTACGGTAGATCGACTCACTTACTTCATTTTCTCTATATCTTTTTACAAAGCGTTTGCGCAATTCTTTATACCCGCAGTTCATTTCGTAAGATGCGAGAGATGTATCTCATAACATTTTCTTTCAATATCTTGAAAGATATTGGCAAAAAATACGTAATCTTTGTATAAAGTATATTATCGGTTTTTTGACATGTTCTACTATCTTTTATTATCTCTCTTCTTTTAAATTGCAAATCTTTAGCTTGACAGATCCACGTCTTTATGTTTCTGGAGTTAAATACCAAGATATTCGACTTTTAAAATATTTACGAATTCTTAAATCCCTTGAGCATGAAACATTTTTGAAATATTTTTCGCAAGTTTAAATTTTTGGAATTTTAAATTTTCGATTTATTTTTCATTTTTAAATTCTTGAACTTGTCACGATATTTAACGTTCTGTAAATTTTGCGATCACTTCAATTTTCAGACGATATATTTAAGACCAGTGACTAAATGTTAGATAAAAAAATAGAAATAAAAGTTTCAGTTAAGAAAATAATCTTTGAATTGCTTCGAGAAATATTGAGCGATAAAAATGAGTATTTCAACTTTTCCGACAATCTTATAACTTGAACATTTATTTCGCTCGAGCCATTCGTCTTGGCTATAGCAATAATAATTCGTTATCGACATGAAGAACTTTGGTACCGATATTTGATTCGCGGACTAAAACTTTCGAGAAACTGTCAGTTAAGCACTCGAATAACGCTTAAAACTTCCTTATTGGAAGCTTACTTTGTTATTGTTGAAGCTCTGTTATATATATATATATATATATATTGCTTTTATATCTTTAATAATAATATATATATGGTAGCATTTATAATTTCATTTTATTAATAATGTATTTAACGTAGATATTGCTATTAAAATGACATTTGGCAACTGTCCTTTTATTGACACGTAATGGTACGTCATATTGTACGTTTATTATAGTTTCAGCGAAAATGCTTATTTTACATGTCCCACACGTGCGAGCGTGGTACGTGCGTATAAATTATTACGTTCGAAAATATGAAACAAAGATATGTGACATTCGCGAAATATGAATTGTAACATTACATCGCATGTGCATCGAATACTAATAAATTATAACATAGAACACATTATATGTACGAAATTTTTATCTGACCGATAACGCTGGATTTACTTGACTTGGCATATTTGACACTTCAGTAGAATAGTTTAGAACACTCGTTCTAATCGGTAGCGATTAAACCGGGATTCTTTCCCGCATTCCTTTTAGGCTACAAAAAAAGGCTGCGGAGCAGGTCTCTTTAAAAGAACCGGAGCTCTCTCGTTTCTCATCGTCGAACGTTGCTCGTCCAAGCATCATCCATTGTTACGTTATCGAGCGCTTTTCGCGAGCTTTTCATCCGCATTACAAAACTACTAAACGCGACAAAAAATCCGCGATAGAATCGTATACATACTGATGGATATCCGTTACGAGGATATTTGAGATCTGTCAAGAAATCTTCCGTATCCCAAGAGAGCTTTTACGGGCAGTTCGTGGACTGCGATTGTGATTCTAACAAATTAATTATGACGATTCTGCGATAAAGATTTTACCGAAAGCTAGATGAGAAAGTTATCCGGGAAACTTGTGTATAAATTATTCACGGAGTTTCGATGTATTTGTAAGTATACTTCAATTACTCGCTTAAATGCGCCTCTTTTATGCATTCATCATAATTCAGAAAGATTATTTAATATACTCTCTTCATCTTTTATATAAATATTTAAAGATTTCAATACCTTTAAGTGAACTCTACAAACTTTCACGTTGAATACGATGCGAAGATTGTAAAGCAGGTTGTAAAAGCTAATGGCTCGTGCAATAGTTCTAACATGGTGCATTTAACGTTGAAAATATACGATTATGGTTTATTTGTTTTACATGAAAATCATAATGTATGTAATAAAAGGGCTTAGACGATCTCATTTAATTAAATGTACAGAGAAAAGTAGAGAGAGAAAGAGAGAACCAAGGAGCGATATCGTCTTTCGTATAATA